AGAAATACATTTCCACAGGCTTGCTGGGCAGTGTGATGCTAAGGGTGGTTTTGCTCAGTACTAAATTTTTTATAGCTGGTTCACCTGGCGGCACAAGGCTTTTCCACCTCCGAGCTTCAACAGCAGCTGAGAGGGTGTTATCATTGCTGTGGTGGGGCGGCCGTGGGCGCTGGGTCGGGGGGCTCAGTGGGGTGGGCTCTGCTGGGTGACTGGACCCTGCAGGCAGGCAGGAGTGTGCCTTGGCACCACGGGCAGCGGGGCTGTTCCCAAGGGGCATCTCCATCGCCAGCGGTAGGGGGAAGGAGGAGTGAGGAGGAGCCTTTGGGAAATATTTCCCTGCTGCTCTTTGTAGAAGAAGGCAGATTTGTCTCAAATATGTTCACACGTGATTGGAAAGACAAGATTAAATCAGGTCGTGTTTTAGTGACCTTGGTGTCCATCAGTATGTACTCTGTTAGATGTGTGTCTGGCCATGTACAAGTGTAAACAACTGAATTGGAATATTTCAATAAATGCGTACATGCAAGCATGAAAAAGTGATTCTATACAAATGTGATTAGAATACAAACCATTTATTTCATCAACATTGCATTTTTGCTTGCTCTAGAATGTCGTCTTTGATTTGAAGCGCTGTCTTGAATTTTCTGGATGTTTGAGACACCAAATTCAGTGTTTTTCCAAGCTTTTTTTTCTCTTTGACTTTAAGCATTTCTGTATCCCTTCTTCTGGATTCCCTGCTGTCTTCCTCCCAGTTTTTCTCTCCAGCATTCTTTTGGCCTACCTGGCTCTTTCATTTGCATATCAAAGAGAGTATTTAATTAGTTCCTTATTGTTCCTGTCTTTCTGTCCTTTCAACAAAGGTTTAATCTTTATTTATCCGTGCTTTTCTTAAAGATCATTCTGTAAACTAGGTATAAATAATTGTTTTTGCTTCCATAATAACAAAATAAGACATTTCTGCAGGTTTCCTTCCTGTTATGGAAAAAAGGGTGATGAGTCATTGTTGATCTGCAGGCTGATATTGAAAAATCCTTCATTGATCTCAGGTAGGAGTGTTGTTATAATAAAGCAAGCTGACACACCTACCATTTGTTTTATGTAAACTATCCCAGGGAGGATGCAAAAAATAGATATGCAAATGATCCCCCAGCATCATTACAGGACCTAAACTACAGGATAATCTTCTTTCAGTACTCTTCCTTACTGCCTAATAGCCAGGTTTTAGTCTTAAAGCAGAATGCCCTTAGGAATAAATTTTCATCTTTCGCAAGAAGTATGTCTTTTTTCATTTATTGCTGTTACAGAAGATTAGGCTTTCAACTTGCTAGATTATTATTAATTAATAATTAGGTTTATATTCTCAGTAAGTCTGAATTCTAGACTTCTGAAAAACTAGAAAGTTAACTGCATGTGACATAAGCTGAAATTGGCTTGGCAGTGCATGTTATTCACATGTAACGTCAGTGGGTGAGTCATGCGCATTGCACAATAATTCTACAGTTGGTTTTTATTGCTCTCCTGAAATATGGGCCCACACTTCATTACATTTATTTACTGTAAAGTGTAAATTCACAATGGCTTCATCTTCAGTGTCTGTGTGCTTCTTCTGTTATGTGTTTAATGTAAATGATGAGAGCAGTATCCTATCCATACCAACATATGGTTGTCTAAGTCAGGGTGGGCTGGTCTTCTACATCCTGTGATCATGAGGGCAGTCTTGAGCATCTCCTTGATCTCTCTTGTTTCCAGGGATCCAGGTAATTGGTGGTTTTCTTCCTGCATTGGCTGGGCACTGACAGGAAGCTAAGAACCTCGTCTTTTCTTTGATTTGGTTGAGTGGAAGAAAATACAAAGAAGTTGGCTGCCTTTAAGAGATATCTTCCCCCCCCACCAGGTTTATCTGTTTGAAAAAGAAAGAATACAACAAATACTGGGTTATCATACTGTAAAATTAGAAATTTGTTGAATGAAGGGAGAAATGTAAATTGAATTGTAACTGTATTGCTGCATATTTCTCTGATCTTAGTCACGTGTGTTGGAAAATCAGAAAATTTCAAATCCTGTTGAAACCTTAAAACCTTTTGCCTCCTGCCTCGTGTATTTCTGAGGTCAGGTGCACAAGGTCATCCTGCAGCTGTTGGACTGAAGGCATGGGCAGGGTGGCCAGTTGCCAGGGGACGTATGCCTGAGCGATGCTGGCAGCTCAGCCCATGTGCAGCACTTCCCCAGCAGCAGCCCCCCGATGCCTGTTTTTTTCCTGCGGTGCATTGAGGAGTATATTCCAAAGTCTATGGCAGTTTGAAAGCAGAGGGTCAAACTAGCACAGTAGTCTTTTTTGTTTTACTACCTTGTGACCAAATTTGAAATTTTGTTTCTATCTCCCGTGCCCTAGTAAAGATTGTAAGCTTAACAGAATGATTTTATGAATGTCTTTAATACATGGAATCCTGTAAAACAAGGACAGTGTTTTAACATGCTTCTTGTGCCATGGTGGCAGGAGCAAGTTACCACCCAAAATACCAGCAGGGAAGGGGGAAGGTGGGATGGGGGGTGAGGTCTGTATTCTCAGAAATGCTTATGGATGCTAAAGGCAGGAACTTGCTGGCTGACACTAAATACTTTATTTAAATTAAAAATTAGGAGGAAGCCAAACCAGTATACTTGGGGGAACAAAGGCCCATGCAAGAGGGTCACTGGGGCTCAGGTCTTGCCGTGTAATCTACCAGAGAAGGATAATTCAGCCTGAAATAGCTAAGGAGGAATCTTACTTTCAAGCATAATGTAGCCTTTTATTGTGTAATTTATGATTTTTCGTAACCTCTTTCCTAAACTTGAGGCTAAAAGCCTAACATAATGTCTCACTGAGTAAACTTTACTTTGTTTTACCCTCGTGGTGCTAAGTTCAAGTAAAGCTCTCCCTGATGGTTTAAACAGATGACCAAAGTAGGGGAAAGGCTAAAGATACAAAAATGCAAAGGAGGTAAAGCAGTGCATATGGGATGGTAGCTGAAGTGCTGCCAGAAAAAAGGACTTCTAGAAATATGGCCAAGTAATTATGCAGCCAAGAAATCATGGTGAAATAGAACTCCTGCTTGAGAGGGATTACTTGCTGTTTCCAATGCCACATGAACAGACTTAGTTGTCTGTGAACACAATGAGTGTTAAGGTAAAGTAATTGCAGCTGGTTAGGAATATCCCTGTATAGACTATTTTCTGCAGTGCCATGCTTGTTACATCTGTCTCTGGTAGCTTATCATCTTTGTATCATTTCTTATTACACTTAATCTTCTAATGAGTATGTAGTAATACTTTTCATATGTACATTAGTCAACACCTTTCCTGTCAGCTTTTGTAAAGCTGTAAGGAGTTGCATTAAAGGTAGCTCAGTATGAGTCTGGTATTTCGAAGAGAAGTGATAAAAAGATGCTGGAAAACAGGGGAAGTGGGGAGAAAGGAGTATACCCTTCTTGCTACAAGCAGAGTCTGTTTCTGGACCCTGAGGCAGAAGGTCTTTCCAGTGACTTTTGACTTCAGACATTACAGGTTTCTTGCTCTCCTGCTTCATGGGGATTTTAGAGCATTGTTTGTAAAACTGGCTTGTGTGCTTGCAGGAGATCATTTTATAAAATGTATGATAGGCACCACAGGTTCTGTTTCTGGACAACATCTGTCTATGTTTTCTTGGGCTTTGAAAAATGAATATGGTAAAAAATCAGAACTTCAGGTCAAAGATCTGACCTTTAAGGTAATAGTTACTGTAGTTCACAAACACCATATGTAGTTAGATACAACAGTAAAAAGACTGTTGGGTTTCTTAAATGGGGCATTAGTACGTGTGAATGATAGATCCTTCTTTTAATACCTTCTTATATGTCATTGCGGAAATCTGTATCTTCTGCTGACTCTGTTTGACTGAACTGTGCATTTACATAACGTTTCATTCTGTAATGGCAGTTCTTGGAGAACATGCGATGCAAATCCTGAGAGAGCCCCCAAACCCTGTCACTGCTGGTGTTCTGAAATTGTTGCAGTAGCACAGCTGGGCTTTGGGAGACCAACCCAGAAATCTGCATTAACCTGTGCTGCCATTTCTATGCAGGATAGCATACAACGTTGAAATACACCACTTCAGAACATTACCTTAACACAGAAAAGTATTTTCTTTCTTAATGTTTTTATCATGGTAAGTTTCCAGGGAGATAACATTATTAAAGAAGAAAGTTGGGGTTTTGTTTGTTTTTACAAGATTGAACTGATGTAAAAGCAAAGGGAGAAAGAAAATCGGATTTTCAGGATCTTCAGAACTCATAAATGTTGCTGAACTCACCATAAGCTGCACATGGTCAGCACATTTACAAAATCAAGCTATTACATATCATCTATACAAAATAAACAAAGCATACTGGCTATTTATGTTAAGAAGAAAAGAAGAAAAAGTAGGTTTAGTTTTAATGAAACTGTGGTGTTTTTTTATTACAGGGCCCCCAATTTTCTACTGATCAGGGAAAAAAAGATGATTGTTCAGCGCATTATGCTCAAGGGATAATTTGAAGCTAGTAAATGTTTACACCAACCCTTTTTCTTGAATAATTCAGATCTGTGTGTGCATAGCACTGTGCTTTTGTTTAATAGCTAACTAAATAAATAAGAGGGGGGAAAGCTTAAGTTAAATATAAAAGTGAAAAAGAGTTCCTAAAGGATACCTAGTTTTATCTGGGAGTAGTTCAGATTCCCTGAATTTTAGAAAATTTCATAACCTTTCAACTGAATGTGTATATATTATGAGCTTCTTACCTAGTTGATACTTTATCTCCAGTTTTTCATTTAACTGGGAATCAAAGGTAACCTAAATTGCAAAAGGGTTGTTTTCTATTCTTTAGGGGGCACTCCAGAGTCCTGGTCATATTTAAATTTGATTGTTTTCTAGCTCATTTTTCAAAAGAAGCTTTTACTTTAATACATAATCCTGAACATAATTTCTCTTGTTGCTTTTTCTGTAGGATTGTGGAAAAGGGTTACTACAGTGAACGAGATGCTGCTGATGCTGTTAAACAAATCCTGGAGGCGGTTGCTGTGAGTATTGTCTAGCATCATATGCTCAGGACCTAATCTTTCACCTATAATGGCTTAATAAATACTTACGTGTGAAAGAAGCAGAGTTCACTGGAGACAGTCCACACAAGTTCCCTCCTATAATTAATTTTGTATTGATTTTTTTTTAAGGTAGTGGCACTTTGAAGGGCAAGAAGTGACTTTGTATGGCAGTCAGCAATACATTTAACGCTCTAAATCATCTGTTACGGTGGAGTGCATGCTCTGTCCAATCTCAGAAACCTGTGGAGTTCAGCACTGATCGTTTTAGCCTTAAAAGTAATTTGAAATCACTGGCACTTGTGTAGTCTCTCGTTCATTTTTTGCAGAGTATGTCACAGTAATTTATTTGGAACCTTAAACAGAAGAGAATGCATTACTTTTCCTCTCAACTTATAAGGATAATAGATTGGCTAAACATGTTAGCTGGTGTAAAGATTTACAAGAATTTGAGTCCAAGACTCCTGCAGAATATTGCCATGAAAACAGTTATGCTTCATTTGCAGTTGCTGCCTGAAGGTGACCCATCAGAGTTTTTGCCACTATGCAGGAGTGTTTATACAAACAAAGCTCATTGCAAGGAAGTGTGGGCTACTGGGAAAGTGGATAGTGTAGGTTACAACATATCTAACCAAAAATCAATTCTCACTGTTCTTCAAATTGCATGTACATACACAGAATGAGAGTAATATTGAGAGAGATCAGAATAAAGTTTGGTGCCAGTAGTTTGTGCAGTTCCTAATATACCTTTTTCCTCTATATTTTGTGTGGTTTTCAAACATTTGAATTTTTGTACAACTATTTCACATTCTATCACTTAGAGAAAGGTATAAAGATTTTTGAGACAAGAAGATGAAGGCTTCTAGGGGGTACATACAGTATTTCTGTACATCATCCATACTTCTCAGTCACTTGTAGCTCTTCCATCTGATTTCACACCAGATGTTAACCAAACCAGCAATCAGATGCTGGGAAAGTACTTAAGAAATTAATTTGTCAAATGTCTAGTCTATACGCTAGCACTGATCATTTCCAGTGCAGAAGAGAAAGGACGTGTTGGACAAGAAAAAACAGTCCAGTTGGGACACTCGGAGCATTTCAGAGAAATAGTAATATAGAGGCAATTTTACTTTGTGAAACTAAGATGTTAGCAAGGCCTAAGGAGAGATAGATGCTAAAGATTTTGCCTTCTGCTGTGCCTGGCAGTCTGACTTCAGAGTCAGCAGGAGATATTTTGGATTTTATCCAGTGGCACTGTGTGGTTGTCTGCAGCAGACGTTTGGGGTGAAGCAGCCAGGTAGCAGAAAGACTGCAAAGATCTTGGAACAGACACAAGTGCTCAGAGGTGTGCAAATAGTGCAGATGGGACGTGACTGACTTTGGGTGTGTGTCCAGACTGTCAGACTTTTCAAACAAAAAACAACTGTTGGTCACATGGAAAAAAGAGAGGTCAGCCTGAAGGGCTCTTTTGAAGGATGGTAGTGGTGAGGCAGGATCTGTACAGATCATCCGCAGAGATGCAGTGTCGAAAGAGCTGTCCTCAGGATAGGACTGGTGGTGGTGATTGACCTCTATGGAAGGTACCCAGAGGTGAGGAAGAGTTAATGTGGTTACAGCAGTAATGCAATTATTCAGAAGGGACAGGCCAACTTGGACATATTTACCTGGGATGGTAACGAAATACCCCATTGTGAAAAACTCCTATAAATCATGGTTTGGTATTCTTTTAAGCCTGTTCACACTAAGTAAGATGTGAGAACTGGTGTTTACTGCAGTAACCAGACATATTGCAAGACCATCATATTCACTTCATGCTACTTTCTGAATGATCTGATGCTTACTGAGTCACTCATTCAAAGTAATCTAAATTATGTATTTAAGTTTAGTGCACAGCATAATGCATTTGTATAAACTTCTTAAAATTGGGTCAAATTATTATTTTATGGCCAATTTTTTCTTCCAATGCAAATGCCGTAGTTAAGATGGTTCTACATTATTTATCATTCTTTTGCAAAAATGATGATTAAGTTTGCTGAAAGATGCTTCAGAAGGTGTTTCAGCTCTTTATTTTAAAAGGCAGGAACCAGATGATCTTCAGCTTCTATGAATTGTAATAGCTTGGTTGAAATCAATGGAACAGTGTTGTATGAAAGCTAAAAAGCTGACCTTTATATGAGCATGCAATAATTTGGATTTTTATAGATCCTTGTACTAGATCCCTAGCTAGGATGGACTGTATTGACTTTTGCTCTTACAGCTGACACTGAACATCTAAGCCAAGCTGGAAGGCTGTGGAAGTGGCAGTTCCCAACTTGGGATCTTTGCGACCCAGTTGAAATACTGTGGTAGATTGGGGCTGTAAACTTGACAGAATGGTGTTTGTGAGCAGAACGGGAGTTATTGTTGGAAACTGGAAAATACTGCTGCAGCAGACTAATATTGCCAGAATAAAAGGAAATATATCCATAGATCATTCTTAAAACCAAATAATTGTACAATCTCCTCAATAGACCATGCCAGTGAATACCCTCCTGGCACCAGGTAGGCATTTTGACCTCTGCAATTTTTAGAAATTGCTCTTAGCAAGAGAAGCATTCAGCCTTTCCTTTGCTGAACTCTCTTCAACTAGTCTACCTACTTGTTTTATAAATCCCTTGTTAAGGGCTGTTACTGTAGTAAAGGATCTGTCCTCACAGTGGATCATTGACATGAGAAGGTCTTATGTCTTCATTTAGCAAAGGTGTTTTTGGACACTTCTAAAGGATTTAATCAAAAGTGTAAAGTGGAATTTTAAAAGCACCTGAGCATTTTTGTTCAATTCCTTTTGAAATTGTTAAACCAAATGGACTAATACTCTTAAAAAAAAAAAAAAAGAATCCCATAAAGCTTCTAAGTATATCTGTTTCTTGTAATATCTGAGTACCTGTAAGCCGAGCTCTAACTGGCTTACCAAGAATTAAGCAAGCAGTCCAAGTAGCACGCAGAAAATGAATCTTAATCTTCCAGGTCACAAACCAGCATAAATATATCAGACATCTGTCCTCCCAAGAACAGAGAAAATAACAAACCCAATATTGTTTTGAAGACCACTGCATCCATTTTGTCATTTTCCATGATTTTTCTTTCTGCTGGTTACATCTGATCCGGTGTTCCCAGTCCATGACTGTATTTGCCCCTAGTGGGAACAAATTACCTTTTTTTTTCTCTCTTCCACACCTTCGCCTTTTCCATTATTCTCCCATTGTTCTTCAAGCTGGGAGATAGCTTCATTCATAAGATAAAAGGCTTGTACAAAACTAGGGCAAACCAGCATTCATCTTTTTAGTTCTTTTGCTGCGCTGTTCGGAACAAGTAGGGAGGTTTTGTTGCTACCCGACATCTCAGAACAGGGTGAATTTCATTCCTGAGAGAGGATGCATTTGCAGGCAGTCTCTCTTGGTACATCGTTGTCCTTTCTCTCCTTCTCAGAGGATCAGTTGTATACAGTGTGGTTTTCTTGCATGCTTTTTCTGGTAGCAGTTTTTCTATTTTGTGTAATTAATGGATTTCCACATGCAGGTGTCTTGAGGCCAGATCTTCACTGCCTGACTTGCAGAATGAGTTACTGATGCTATGGAATTCAAATCATCCCTGAAATATTGGTCAGAAAAAGACACTCACTTTTTCTGTAAAGGACATCTACTTTTTAGCTGGTCAAACTTAAGAAAATTACACTGATTTTTTTTTTTTTTTAATGTGTACTTTCAAAATGTTGCATTTGTCATTAAAAATAAACTGTGTTCCTTCTTGCCTACACTGCATTAGTGTCAAGGTGATAGGTTTCTGCTTGAGTGTTAAATTACTCTTTTCATTATATTTAAATTTGAAATTATTTTTAACAGTTTACTTTTTGTAATTAGGGTCGTTATTAGCATACGTTCTATATGTAGTTTTGAACTCATCAAGCAGTGTCTAAGTTAATTTCCCATCACATTTTATAATAGGTTGTTTTCTTATGACTGGCCATTACCTTGTCTAGATAGGAACATTTTCCTGAAGCTATATGTGGGACCCCTGCCATTTTCATTTCTATTTTTTATTTCAATTTTCTACCACTTCAAGCTTCATTGTATGCCTGCACTTCTATTCAGTTCCTTGTCAGCTTAAATTCACAGGGAGCACGCTGAATTCTCAGCTGTGATTGCAAAGACTGAGGGCACTTAGCCACTTGCAGGTTTGAGAGGGAAAACCTAGATTAAAGGTTTCTGTTCATTTCAGTGAACTTTGATCTGTCCGATAATAAGCTGTATGATAGTAGGTAAGAACCTACTGCAAATGTGCAGCTTGCAAGTATATTTTACAGACCCTGAGGCACTGGTGTGTCTAACAATTAGAGCTTAGACCAAATGAGGTAATCAATCAGACTTTTAAACACTGGCTGAGGCCCAAGACAATTGATTAAAATATTGGGGGGTTTTAGCATTCAAAGAAAAGTGGACATTAGGTAAAGATTACAAAAAAGTTTCATTTTTTCTATACCATCATTGAGTTAGTGCTTGCTGCAGATAGAGGCGACCAATGGATTTAGTTTTAGCCACCAGCTACGAGGTGAATGTAATCAAGGTATAAATGTCACAGAATTCTGAAATTTTGAACGAGGCAAATGTGTTATATTATCAATATATACTTAGACAGGCCTAAAAAGGCACAGTGTTAAGAAGAATAAGTGTGTTGAGACAAATAGGAAAGAAACCTGGGGCTCAATTCTGTAGAAAATGAAGTTAAATTCCACAAAAGAGAATAGCAGGGACACCTAGGTATTACAACACAGGATAAAGACCTGTGTAAAACAGTAACAAAATTCGGGAATACTCTATGTAGGAGAAGGAATCTTATGCATCATTGTAGATACTGAAGATATCTGTTTTAATGGAGGAGGCATTTGCACCTTCAGATCTCTCCCCGTTCCCTGAAGAATCCTGGGTGTTTTCCATTCTCTCTCT